TCGCCTAATTTTCTTTATCTCCGCAGTTAGTTCGTTTTAACGGTCGCAACTAATAGGAAATATTAGGTACAATATATTATATTACGTTTATGCGATAATTAAATGTACAGTGCATCCGAAAGCAAGTTAAAATAACGAACAGTCATATACCTATATTATATACCTAGGTATAACGAACGCTATCCACTGCGATCGTAATTTATGTGCTCTCCGGTTTTGTTTTTGTGAACCCCTTCCCTTTGAACTGTTTGTGAACGTTTACGCCCCGCTAAACGGTTAATGGGCATCGTGCAGTGCCAGCAAAAAAAAAATATTAAATTTTCGCCCCTTATTCATTTTTGACTTCGATGACTACAAATAATATTGTATAATTACACGCGGGGGCCGCGAGGTATGAAGGCTTTGTTGTTCGGCAACGCAACAGTATAATATATTATTATGTACTGCTGCAGCAGTGAGTTTATAGTATAATAAGAGCAACAAGACGCACTGGGTTATCTCTGTTTTGGAAGGGGGAGGATCCTTTTTGGACCCCCAGTCAACGCCATCATTACACGCGAGACCCTTAGTCGTCTCGGAGAAAAAATACCCCACACACACACACACACCGACGCTGCGAAGGGTTGCGACCCTCTCCGGTTATTTCATTATTTCTCGCTCGCGCCCTTTAAGAACTTGCGATGCATCAGCAGCAGCAGCATCGCCGCCACCACCACCACCGGCGTTTGCAGATTTTTCGGAGGAATTCTCATATATATATAAACGAAACCTCATTTCGGCGTCCTCCACGACCTCGGCCGATACCGACGGAGATAGACTACGTCGACAAATTAACGGGCCGCCGCCTGTCTCTTGTACCATTTGTTTTTCAATAATTGTGTGTAGCAGGGCGTATTTCTTGGAAGGGTCTCCGCAACGAGACCGATAAACGAAAGTGAAATAACTGCGGCCCTAGGAATATAATAACAGTTGCACTATACATATTATACCACCGCCGTCGGTCATAAACGTCTTCGGTCCTCCTCGCGAATAATGAAAGTTAGCTGCACTCGCTCGTGTATCCATAATCGAGTGCCATCAATTCTGTCAGATTTATATAATATTATATACTGTCGCGGGGTCCGAAGAAAGTGTAATGGCCTCCGAATAAGGACCTAGGAGAAGGGTGCGAGCTCACTGCAGTGACTGACTCAACGGTCGAAGTACGACTACGCATATTTTTTCGAAAAACAAATTCGATTACGGCCCAGGGCGAGTAACAAATGAACAGTATAAATGAAGTCGGAATAAATACTAAAATACGTAATTATATATATATGGACACAGGACCCCCAAAAGGGAGGGTCTGTTAGGCCTGGAGTACAAGGGACCGGCTATTTTTGAAATTTTCATGAAATTAAGTGGTTTTCAAACTTTTATTGAACACAGAACACCGTGCTCCTCAAAAAATGTTCACACTGATTCACAGTCAATTGTTTTGAATTATAAATATGTACATTTAATTAGAAATGTGTGTCGGGCAAACAAATTTGTATTAAATATATTTTTATAATTTTATTCTTGGATGAATAGTTGACATTTTTCAGAAGTCCTCGTCACCCACTTTTAAAAACCACTGCAGGTATATACTATAATATATACCTAGTATATTATTATAGTATATTAATATGTTCTTAGATTATAGTAATTTTGTTATTTTAAGCTGTGGGTTAGCCATATTTTACCGCCTAGAAATCGTGTATGGGACACCCATATCGTGTGTATATATATCGTTTTTGATGAGTTGCGTATATTTTTGGAAGTTTCGTAAGGGCCCACAAAAAAATTTAGTACGGGGGCCAACATTTTATGTGGGGGCCTGTATATAAGTATATCCACCGCCATTTATTTGTCGAAATGAAGTTGCGGCGAAATTGTTACTAACTATTGAATTTGCAACCCTTTGTTTTTTATTATTATTAAAAAACTATACCAATAATCAAGATAGGTGACTATGGCAACGACAGCGGTCGCAACAGACGAACACAACAAAAATAATATAGTCTCATATATCATACGCTATTTATAGATATTACGGAAATGCACTAGACATTATACAGCAGTAAGTTAATTTGAGTACAGCACCTGATTGGGCTGCAACTCATTTGCGCACATTAACCTTTTTTACAACTCATTTGCGCACAAAAACATAACTCATTTGCGCACAATTTACGAACAATAGAAACCTTTTTTCCAAAAATTTTATCCACGTATAGGGTGTACATAATCTCCGTACCACCATATTTTCGATTTGGTCAATACTGATAGTGGACAATTATTATACTCAAACAACATTTTCCTTCACCCTTTAAAAGGCTTAGGACTTTCTGTCTCATCATATTCTGACGTTATAGACTGGCGGGTTAAAAATGTTGTTTTAGCTATTACACATTATTCAAATTTTTGTCAAATTACAATAAATTAGGTACAATAATTTTTACAAGTCATTAAAATGTTGTCAAATTACAATAAATTAGGTTTAACGTTTAACAAAAATAGGGTAAGATATAGCAATAATATTGTTCGCTCCGTTTGATAACAGAATTGCCGTCGTCGGTGGTCACGCTCGACCATAGACATAATATAGATGGACTGCGCGTTCCTCCCCCCTCGCCATCAATAAATTCAGCCATAATAACAAGACATGAGAAGGTAAAATAGCATGGATAAAACATTTTTACAGTTTTTATTCCAAGGTATATTTTGGTTTAAATAAGAGTGATAACTGATAAGACTATTGATTCCGTATTTCCGTATCATGGAGGAAAGCTGTTAGATTAACATTTTTCCATGATTATTTACCTTCTACATAAGTTTATTATTGCTGACATGATAAGGGCTGAACGCGCAGTCCATCTATATTATGTCTATGCGCTCGACCGACCGCCGCAGTAACCATGTTCCTGGGCGCTGCGCGCCGGCAGCCGCAATTTTGGCAACACTGGTAGACCGTTACCGGCTCTCGGTATTCGAGCTCGGACGTCCGCGTCTCGCGGTCGTCGTGTGTGTATGCGTCTAGCTCGTCCATACCGTTTATGCTCAAAAAACCATGTTTGGTCGCTATGCTCAACGGCCCGTCCATGGCCGTCCGCCATTGTTCCGTGGTGGATACAAGTTCGCTCTCTTTGCTGTAACCAGTTCGATTGGTGTTAAAATGGCGTTTACTCGCCGTCTTTCCGTTATAACGAGTACCCGACCGCTCCGTCTACACGTTGTTGTTCTGCTCGCTCGTCCGTCAGCCATCTTTTTCCCGTTTGGGATAGTTACGGAAAACGTGTTTATTGTTTTGTGTTAAACATCGCGGTTGTTCGGCCAATTAACTCGTATCGCTCTTTTATTGACTGTCGTCGTCCAGTCTGCTCTCGTCAAGTTCGTGACCATCAGCTCCGAGTAGCTTTACCTACTCTACCATACTTCGCGTCCACGTGCGCGGTTGAACGCTCTTCGCTCCACGACACGACGGTGCACACGCTCGCACCCGTGTTCCAGATACAGCAGCTCCGCACCTACAGTTCACCAGCTCAAGACTTCGGCCAGGGAGGCAGCTCAGTCGGTGATCCCCGTTTCCCCCCTGACTTAATATTGTATTATTGTATAATTGAATTACCTACCTACTGTTCATGTGGTATACCTAACAATACATGCTCCTGATAGTTAGAAATCTCGTGTTATTTTTGAATCTTATAAATTGCCTTACTCTACAACAATCCCGAGGACCTCGTACCAGGCGATATCTGATCTTAAGGATCGCCGGGTCAACATTTTGGTAGCAGGGCGTGGTTGGTTGGTCCATCAACATCTGGTACTCTGGATTCGCGTGAGTAATGCATTTTGTTTTTAGTTTTGGCTTATGAGTATAAGGTGTGTACATTTATTTATCCTTTTCCTCACTCCTATCGATAGTAGGTACTGTTCAGTAAGAAGACAGTAATTAACTCAACCGACTGTCCAGTCATTAATTAATTGTTTTATTTATTGCTATTAATATAAGTCAGATTTATTATTTAGTGTTGAGTTTTATTTACTGTATTCGTGCTCAAGCGTTTACTACTGTAGTAACGTTATTCAATTTGAATTTACTTTAAATATTACATATTTATTGGACGGTGCTCTCTGGGTTAAATTATTTATTGTTTTATTTATTGTATTATGTATGGGTATTAAGTAGGTACTAGTAGTAGTACTAGTATAGGTTGTTCACTAGTTGCTGGTCTAGTTAGCACCTACCTCATTGGTTATACTATTTAATTGGGTGGATTATTATTAATATTTTGTTGTCATGCTATTGACATCTGAGTTTTAACAGGGCTTATCACTCACCCTTAGTGCAGTAGCTCTAAATTGCATTATTACATAGTTTAAGATTTAGGTGTGCGTCGTGGGTCGTGCCAAGGATCAGGTATTGTACTATCACACAATATATTATTATTTGATTATTTGTTTTATATTATCCACTCTAGGTTGCTCAATTGAGGGTTTTATAGTGCAGATTTGGTTGTCTAACTTGTTCATAGTTAGTATAATTAATTTTAATATTATATTTAGTACTGCGTCGCCTGGATACACCTGAGTTCTATTCAAGTTTAAATTAATTAGGTGCTCCCCTGTTGTTTAGACTAGTTTTAACTGTTAATAGTTGAAATTGTCTGTGGGCTAGTGATTATTTTGCCGCTTTCTTAGTTATTGCCTACATCATAGTCAACGCTTGTTTATATGTTATTAATTGACTCGTTCATGGCCTTTTTATAGTGCTCATTCGGTAGTCATTTATTTGTTCATTGATTTTTCGGCATCATTGATCAACGTTTGTACTGTGTGACACCAGTATTAGTAATCTTTTGTTTGTGCTTACTTTTTGATCATATCCTTGAAGTGATATTGACTTCAACTAGCAATTTGTTCTCGCTCTTGTGCAATATTGTTAGTCTCTGGCTTTGTTACTTCTTGGTGCAGTCAATATAATGGCTGGGGAACGTGATGCTCGTGCGAAGGAGCGTGCTATCCTGCGTAGGGATCAAGTCATCGCTCGAATTCGCCAGATACACTTATTGGCCACAAGCTCAGCCACTGATGAAGCTAGTAGATCTCAACTAGCTGTGGCTATTGTCGATATTGATAGCTTGTGGGCCAGCTTTGTTATTGAGAACAATAATCTTCTAGACATACTTACCGAATCGGATTTGTTGGGGGAGTTTTCTGTGAACTTAGAAACTGAGACCCGTGCTTTGGTGGTAGAAGCTAAGGCCTTATACAAGGCATCTCAACCAACTCCAGCTTTTAATGTCGGTACGGTTCAACAAGTGTCGTATGAGGGTATAATTGACCAAGCAAGTTCTTCTGCTGGGGGGTCGTCCAAGGATTGCTCAGTTCCCTATCCTCCGTTGGCTGTGGCACCAATGAGGTTGCCTGAAATCCCTCTGCCTACTTTTGATGGTGAATGCCACAACTGGCCAGCCTTTAGGGACATGTTCGTCAATTTGGTGGCTAATAACGATAAGATCCCGAATGTTACCAAGTTCTATTACCTGGTGGGGTGTCTGCATGCTGATCCGCAAGAAGTCATCAAGGGATTTTCGATTTCAAATGAGTCTTTTACTCTTGCCTGGGACGCATTGATCGAACGCTACGATAAACCGCGCAGGTTAGCATCGTCAATAATCGATAAGTTAATATCCGCTCCCGCCTCGAATTCTGAAAATCTTGCAGTTCTGCAGACCTTTATGTCGGTCTTTGACGAAAACATCACGATCCTGGAGTCGCTCCAGATCCCGGATCTAGCGTCGTTTCTGTTATTTTCATTGGCTGCTAGGTGTTTACCTACATTCTCGAGACGTCTTTTCGAGGCTGAAAACAATGAAGAATATCCGTCGATACAGAGCGTGATCAAGTTCGTTAAAACGAGAATCCAGGTTCTTGAAAATGCAGGTGTACAACCGGCAGGAAGCTCCTCCTCGAAGTCGGCCAATATCAAGAAAACTGGTTTCCGTCGGGAATCGAAGACCGCATTAGTATCGACGCCCAAACCTTCGACTTCGAAGCATTCCTCGACCAAACCTACTTCGGCGTCATGTTACGTTTGTTCCGGTGCTCACCAACTAGCTGATTGCGCGAAATTTAAGGCTTGCTCGGTCGATGAACGCTACAAGGTGGTGTGCACGCATCGCCTTTGCATGGTCTGTTTGATTCACGGGCACATGTCGTTTAAGTGTTCCTCTTCGTGCTCCATATGCAAGAGGCGCCATCATGCGCTACTACATCGAGATCAGGAACCGTCGAAACCCGCTCCTCCTGCTGCCATGTTAGGCCGCCAATAAGCTCCAACGGTCTTGCTCGGGACCGCTTTGGTACATGTACGGGATACAATTGGCAGTTGCCAGACCGTGCGCGCTCTGATCGATTCGGCATCGCAGATCAGTGCAATCACATCGGCTTGCTGTAACCGCTTGGGATTACAGCCCTCGCGATGGACAGTACCTGTGACTGGTCTTTCCGGCCAGAAGGTTCCGGATGTACAGGGTATTGTTCAGCTGACGATCCAGCCAAGGGATAAGCCAACGCCAGCGATCCAGGTCAAGCCTTGGGTACTCTCTACCATCACGTCAGATATGCCAGCTCGACAACTGCCAGTTCAGGTACGAGCCAAATGCAGCCATCTGATGTTGGCCGACCCAAGCTTCGATGAGCCAGCTCCAGTTGAGATGCTCATTGGCGCGGATATATTTCCCCAAGTATGGAAGAACAAGTGCAGCTCGCTGGGTCCAGGTTTCCCTTCCGTTTACAGCTCAGTATTTGGTTGGGTGCTAATTGGTCCCGTTCAGGAGCACCCAGATATTGGTGCACAAGCCATGTTGGTGTCGCTAGTATCGTCTATGGAATCCATCATAGAAAGGTTTTGGAAGGTGGAAGAACCTGAAGCTGCTCCGCCTCAGTTCAGCGAAGACGGATTGTGTGAAGAACTGTTCAATTCGGAGATGCGCAAGGATCAAGCCCATCAACCCTCAACCTATGATGGCTGATCTGCCTAGGTTTCGCGTTCAGGAAGCTCATCCGTTCTCTGTAGTTGGTATAGACTATGCAGGTCCCTTGCAAATGAGGGAACTCCGCCTGCGAAAAGCTCGTATCGTGAAGGTATACATTGCGGTATTCGTTTGTATGTCCACCAAAGCGGTGCACTTGGAACCAGTTTCTGCCCTGTCGACCGGGGCTTTTCGATTAACGTTAGATAGATTCGTGGCTCGTCGTGGTCTACCGACGTCGATCTACTCAGACTGTGGTACCAATTTTGTCGGTGCAGCGAGGCAGCTGCGACAATTAGTAAATCATCCGGATAATAGAGATCAACTATCTGGTCATATTGCGTGCGTGTGGCATTTCAACCCTCCTGGTGCTCCCCATTTTGGAGGAATTTGGGAAGCTGCAGTGAAGTCGGCTAAGGCATTGCTTCTTCGTGCCATGAACTCCCAAGTTTGGACGTTAGAAGAGTTTACCACGGTGTTATGTCGAGTAGAGGCTGCTTTGAATTCGCGCCCTCTAGTACCAGCATCATCTGATCTGAATGACCTGGAATGCTTAACACCCGGTCATTTTTTGATTGGTCGTCCTCTGATATCGATTCCGGAACCTGTGACTACCAGTACGCAAACAGGACTGCAGACTCGCTGGAAGCTCCTCCAGCAGTCTTTCCAGTTCTTTTGGCGACGTTGGTCCCAGGAAGATCTAAATTCTCTCCAAGTTCGTGGAAAGTGGACCAAAGATAGCAACAACGTCGAAGTTGGTAATATGGTGGTAGTAAAAATTAGCGACACCCCCCCTCTTACGTGGCCTTTAGGTAGAGTGATCGAGGTGTATCCGGGCACAGATAAGATAGTGCGGGTGGCAAAGGTTAGGACCAACCAGGGAGTGTTCACTAGACCAGTTGTGAAGTTAGTACCGTTACCTACGGATTTGTAGGACAGGATAGGTACTAATTAGATGTATTTCCGTCCAACAGTTTCCTTTGCACCCTTATACTCGTCCGCTATGGCTGAGATCATTATGTGTTATAAACTGTAATTATTTGGTTTTACCAGCCATCACGCCTGCTTCTGGATGTTGGGCCGGTTGCTCCACCTCTGGATCCAGTGGGGTATGGCAATGTTTATTGTTTTTTTTACTTTTGTTTATTTTCAGATATTATGTTGTTACTATATTGATATGTTTTTATGATGATAAAAAGAAAATAATGTAACTAAATTTTGGATAATTAATTTTGTATGTTATGATATTAAACATTGTTATTTTAGCTCGGTTAATGCCGTAGATTTGTTATATTTCATTGCAAAAAATAATGTTAATAATGTTGTCCCTTTGTAAAGAAAACCCGATCATCGCTCTGTTCTGCTCAACTGCTCAACTGCTCCGTTCAACTGCTCAACTGCTCCGTTCAACTGCTCAACTGCTCCGTTGAACTGCTCAACTGCTCTGCTCAACTGCTCCGTTCAACTGCTCGACTGCTCCGTTCAACTGCTCGTTCAACTGCTCCGTTCCACTGCTCATTCAACTGCTCCGTTCAACTGCTCCGTTCAACTGCTCATTCAACTGCTCCGTCCAACTGCTCATTCAACTGCTCCGTTCAAGGCTCCCAGCTCCAACATCATTCAGAACAGATCGAACTTCTTATTCCAAGTTAGCTGGAACTTGCAAGGGGGAGTATGTTCGCTCCGTTTGATAACAGAATTGCCGTCGTCGGTGGTCACGCTCGACCGACCGCCGCAGTAACCATGTTCCTGGGCGCTGCGCGCCGGCAGCCGCAATTTTGGCAACACTGGTAGACCGTTACCGGCTCTCGGTATTCGAGCTCGGACGTCCGCGTCTCGCGGTCGTCGTGTGTGTATGCGTCTAGCTCGTCCATACCGTTTATGCTCAAAAAACCATGTTTGGTCGCTATGCTCAACGGCCCGTCCATGGCCGTCCGCCATTGTTCCGTGGTGGATACAAGTTCGCTCTCTTTGCTGTAACCAGTTCGATTGGTGTTAAAATGGCGTTTACTCGCCGTCTTTCCGTTATAACGAGTACCCGACCGCTCCGTCTACACGTTGTTGTTCTGCTCGCTCGTCCGTCAGCCATCTTTTTCCCGTTTGGGATAGTTACGGAAAACGTGTTTATTGTTTTGTGTTAAACATCGCGGTTGTTCGGCCAATTAACTCGTATCGCTCTTTTATTGACTGTCGTCGTCCAGTCTGCTCTCGTCAAGTTCGTGACCATCAGCTCCGAGTAGCTTTACCTACTCTACCATACTTCGCGTCCACGTGCGCGGTTGAACGCTCTTCGCTCCACGACACGACGGTGCACACGCTCGCACCCGTGTTCCAGATACAGCAGCTCCGCACCTACAGTTCACCAGCTCAAGACTTCGGCCAGGGAGGCAGCTCAGTCGGTGATCCCCGTTTCCCCCCTGACTTAATATTGTATTATTGTATAATTGAATTACCTACCTACTGTTCATGTGGTATACCTAACAATACATGCTCCTGATAGTTAGAAATCTCGTGTTATTTTTGAATCTTATAAATTGCCTTACTCTACAACAATCCCGAGGACCTCGTACCAGGCGATATCTGATCTTAAGGATCGCCGGGTCAACAAATATCAATAATAAAGATTAAAGCTTGTCCCACACGACTAGTGTACTTGGCGAGTATTAATGCCATTTTTGATAGATAAGAACTGATGTGAAATCACGTTATGCTTTAAGGCTATATAAGGCTATATTGAAGATACTCCAATAACGGGTGATCATTGATATCAATAATATTGAACGTGTAACGTGTTGGACAGCTTAAGACACCCTGTACACCCAAAACTGTACCTAAAAGCTGGTTTCCATTGTTTACTATTTTGTGCGCAAATGAGTTGTCGTAAATTTAAAAAGTATATTAATATGTGCGCAAATGAGTCTCCACCCCTGATTGTAATGAACAATTAGTGGACGGTGATTACGTTCATCGTAAAATTCGTATTATACATTATTATTTCTGATTTAGATCACCAACTAATATTTCTTTAAGGCGGCTCTAAACGATTGGATTTTTCATGCATTTAGACCAATAAGCTGGCGAAAAATACACATACTTCTAGTAGTCCAATTTCAATTTTGAATACTTATTTGGATTCGTTAGCCTCTTTTCTATGATCTGTAGGAAAAACTTTTTCATCTTTTTGTCTAGTTAGCACTTAAAAGTGCAAGTTAAATTTGAGAAATCAAGCAGTCATTTGGAACCGTAATATACGTAAATTATCTAAAATATCCAAAATCGGTTTCCTACAAATCATAGAAAAGAGGCTGACGAATTCAAATAATTTTTCAAAATTGAAATTGGACTACTAGAAGTATGTGTATTTTTCGCCAGCTTATTAGCATTTTCACTGTTGTGAGTGTACAAAAATATTTTTCGAGAGTGATTACGTTGACTTGTGCATGCGCGTACGTGTGCTATTGAACCGTGTGCCCGCAGCCGGGCGATATAAAATCTATTGTTATCGAGTTCGAATTTCTTCGAATTTCACACTAATAATCATTTACGACTAACACATAGATTACGGGCGGCGACGACAAGATTAGAAATTGCCTAAATTGTTCCCTAATAGCCACTAAGAGCCGCCTTAAGGTGGTTATAGAAAAATTAGTTCTGCTCCTACTGCTATTGACGCAATTATGCAGTTTAAAGATAGATTGATCACTGATCAGTATAAGAAACGACGAAGTTAAAAAAAAACAAGTTTCGGAGTCCAACATTACCCACACGAGACCCACGAAGATGATGTTGACCAATGTAACGATGCTTAAACTTGAAAGTATCGTCTCTTTGAAGCACAAACGCAAATTGAATTATCATGTAATAACGTCGTGCGAGCGGCCTCAAAACATATAAGGCAAAATTTAAGAACGTTTAAACCTTTACTAAGAAAGATCCAAACAAGGGGTCGGAGAGTCGAATTAATAGTAGGCACTTGCCACTTGGACCTTAAACAGTTTATTTTTTGATTCGAGTGCGTATTGTAAAGTGTTGCGAAACTGTCGTCAGTGTCATGTATGTAGGTATAAGTACACCGATTTAGTGCTCTCATCAAATTTACTCAACAAAACGTTTGTTTAAATCTATCAAATCAATAACAAAATTTATAACAACGTACCTATATTGTGTACGGTGCATAATAACGCTACATTGAAGCTTTGCAGTGGCGTATTTATACGGAGGCAGATGACTCAGATAAATCTGCCCCCAAGCCCTGGCCCAAATCAGTTTTGTATTTTCTGATAGGCCGGTTTTAAACTTGTAGAAATATGAATTTAACTTGTATGTACCTATATCTATAAATTATAATTAATCCAATGTTCGTTAATAATTAATATAATTAATTGTCGTACTCAAATATTTTATACTTTATATAAATATTAAAAATATTAAAAAAATTGTGAGGAAAAAACATTTACCTTTAATAATTTAAACTCAAGACGTAAATATCTATCAAGGTTTTTTATGTATAATCATGTCACATTTTCTGTAATGTACCAATATTGAGGTACCTGTAAGTGCAGTTTAAAACTTTATTTTGTGTATGTATAATGAAAATATATAATACTGTTTTTTTTTTTTTTTCAAGAAATTAATTGTGTAAACAATATTTTAATTAAGTATATAATTTATGTTCGATTATTATTTAACATAAACATATTATATATTATTATTTAACGAACTAGTTTATTAAATAGGTAAATATAATATAGTACCTATTTTAATTATTAATTCCATAATATATTAGCTGGTAGTATACATATTTTTACATTTTTGTTTTCATTTATTTTGGTTTGGACAAAAGTAAATGGAATATTTTCATGATTTTAACGAAATTTGTCGCAATTCTAATTTAAAACATTCATAAGAATTGCTTAACACAACATTTTTTTTTTAATTACAATACAAAAAACACTACATTATCGAGCTTTTCGAGACAATTTTTTTATCGATGTTAATTTTAAAAAAAAACCAACAATTTCAAATTTCTATAAAGAAAATATTTCAAAAAAGAGTGAAATTATACTACCATGTATATATTTTAAAGAGATTTTATTACACAATAGATTATAGATAACATAATATTTAAAATTTGATAACAATACCAACAATTGTATTTATATTTTAAATGTACTTTGCAATTTATTATATAAATAAACAAATAATATACATAAATACATAATATATGTATAACATTTCCAACTGGAGGTTCACCTGGATCCTACCAGGTCATCGGATGACTCAACGGGATCCCTATATTGGCTATATTACATCTCAAAGATTTAATATTGCACTTAGGGTAGGTACATCAGGGTAGGATATAAAGGCATAATATTAAAAGAATTGTAATTTATTGAATGAATGTTTTCCTAGCATAGTTTTAAATAATCTAATAACGTTTTGAATTGCTGCTTCACTTATTCTATACATATAATAATAAAAATATATATATATATATATTCATTCAAATAAATAGAAATTATAATGTACTAATAAAATATTACAAAATTTCAAAAAAAATGATGAATCTCCTCAAAAGTCAATGGCTGTGTGGACAGAGAGAGTTCCAAAAAGTATTATAGTTACTTTACTACTTTAGTTCGACTTAAAGTTAATAAGAAAAGAAGTTGATTTAATAGATCGACTTAAGTAATACATATAAAATAAGGTATTAATATAATTTTTATACATTTACATATTTTTGAAGTTTTTAACATTTAAATCTTGATTATAACGAAATTGAATAAACTTGAATTTAAGAAATTGTGGCTCAAGAACTGTTTTAATTTTAGGAACAATAAAATTGGACTTTGATTTCAGTCTGGTAGTATAACTATGACTTAAAACCACAAATTAATCCTTAAAAGCTTGTCATTTTTTTTTGTACATTTAGACCAAAAAGCGGGAAGAAAATTCACATAGTACAAAAAGTCCAATTTTAATTTTGAATACATATTTGAATTCCTTATTATCTTTTCTAGATTTTGTAAGAAATGGATCTTCGATTTTTTTTTTTTTTTGTAACATTCAAGTAAAGGTGAATTTTGAAATAAAAAATTATATTTTTTATTCATTTGGTACTATAGTATACATTTGGTACGATTAAAAAAAAAATTGTAAATACATTTCCTATCGTTATATTTTATATTATATACATAATTCGAGTAAAGATATTTCCAATTTTATTAGGAAATTGACGGACTGTATAAATTCAATATTAAATGGATATTTAGTATAGGACACTAAAACTATTACAATAGGTATACCAAAACACAACGATGCACGATATAAATAAATATGTTGTACAATTTCAAATTTGTACTATTTTAATTAAATTTGATGTCCCTGTAATTAGTAAAGTAAGACGAAAAAACATTGATTTTAAATACAGATACTTTCAAAAAAGTATTCAAATACTGTGCCCTGTAACTACTTTATTCAAATGTATTTAGAATACGTATTTGAGTACTTAAAAAGTATTTGAATACTTTTACTCGAAATACTTTTACTCAAGTACTTTACAAGACTGGAATCAACCTAAATTAAAATTCTGTAAGAAATAATTGATTGAACAAGTGTTATGTTATGTCAGTATTTTAAGTTTAGAATTGAAGATATATTTGAGTGATTGAAAATTTTAAAAAATATATTAAGGAATGCAAGTACCTATTGTTTTCAGATGTTACTCAAAGTATAAAATGTGTTACTTACTAAATAAATGTTTTCTTAACCCTATTTTTAATTTTAATAATACCTACTTCGAATCGCTTATTCATTTAATTTATACAATATGTATCGACTATTAAATAATAACCGTTTGTGTTTACACAAATAACGCATGCTCCGGCTTTGTCATGTTAAGGTCAATTGTATTAGAATGTAATCTACTTTCGATTTAAAACCTATGCTACATCGTCTCTTATACCTACTGCTACAGTGCGTATATACAAATTTGACTACCGAGGAACGAACTGTTGCAGTGTAAGTGACGATATTATATTATTCAAATTTTGAGGTAACTCAAACAATATAAAACGACTGCCTCAAACGTTTTCCGACCATACGGGCATCCATTTTCACGCGCATACTTCAGACATTCCATATGTCCATATTTTGCAGCCATAAAACACGTATTTTCGTCCCAAGGACAACCATTTTCACGCGCATACTTCAGACATTCCATATGTCCATATTTTGCAGCCATAAAACACGTATTTTCGTCCCAAGGGCAACCATTTTCACGCGCATACTTCAGAAATTCAATATGTCCATGTCCCGCAGCATTAGAACACGTATTTTCGTCCCAAGGACAACCATTTTCACGCGCATACTTCAGACATTCCATATGTCCATATCTCGCAGCATTAGAACACGTATTTTCGTCCCAAGGACAACCATTTTCACGCGCATACTTCAGACATTCCATATGTCCATGTCCCGCAGCACTAGAACACGTATTTTCGTCCCAAGGACAACCATTTTCACGCGCATACTTCAGACATTCCATATGTCCATATCTCGCAGCACTAGAACACGTATATTCGTCCCAAGGGCAACCATTTTCACGCGCATACTTCAGACATTCCATACGTCCATGTCCTGCAGCCATATCACACGTTTCTTCATCCCACGGGCATCCATTCTCATGCGCGTACGTCAAGCAGTCCAGATATCCATTTTGCGCAGCTACACAACACGTTTCTTCATGCCAGGGACATCCATTTGCATGTGCATACATAAGACAGTCCAGATGCCCAGAAATTGCAGCATAAAAACACGTATATTCGTTCCATGGACATTCATTCTCATGGCTATACATCAGGCAGTGCAGTTGTCCATGATCTGCAGCTTCAGAACACGTGCTTGTGCCCCAAGGACATCCATTTGCATGCGCGTACATTAGACAGTCTAAGTGTCCTCCCGATGCGGCTGCTTCACACGCTAACGGGTCCCATCGGTAGGAATTTTCCTCAGAGGAAACATTCCACGGAACGCCAATCTCGCGAGCGAATATCAGACAATCAATGTGTCCGTAATACGCGGCATCCCCACATAAGTTACGGATTAAGTCGCCATGGACCTCTGACTGCAACTTCCCGACCATGGACCTCCTATCACCCAACGAGTCGAAACCACCACTCTCCGTGTTGAGTTTCACGATTTGAAAAAGCGACTCGCAACAAATCTGCAAGTCGACGTCCGGAGCCCGCAGCTCGTCGTACTTTTTGCGCTGGATCTTGTTACACGCGTAGTAAGCCGACTTCAACAGATCGGGTACGGCATACAATCTCTCGTTGTTAGCTGCCATCATAGCTGTCTTTTGATATAATGATTTTCTGCTAGAAGAGAGTGACTTGAGAGTACTGTAAATAAAAATAAGAATAAAAACGTAAATCAATAATCTACGTTAAAGTGATAACACGTCCGTATATTGACGACACACACCTGTTCAATACTCAGTATCACGAGACTATACGAGTGAATAAGTTGATGAGGATTAGTGATGACGAAAGTCGTTGGCAGCGTTGGCACCTAAAAAAATAAAATGTTAATCAGTAGGTATATAAACTGTGGTCCGACTCGAATGAAAAAAATTCCCAATATTTTTAAAAATACTAGTTTTAAATTTATTTTTGGACACATTTTTTATTATAGTACTATATAGTACTACTATGGCTATAGCTGACCCCGCGCACTTTGTTTCCCATAAAAATTCCAACTGTTTTACAGTTAAAAATTTGTTTAATTCGTTATCTATATATGTGTAGGTACCTATTATGGTGTTCAAAATTTTAAAAATAAATGTAGTCCGAAATCAGCGGATAGTAATAAGTATAACTTCTTTACTTACGGGAAACCAATTGCTAGCAGAACTAAAAAAATATGCGGTGATGATTTGAAAAGCTGTTAAAACACAACCCAAAATAATTTATTTAATCTATTTTCCAAACCGTCAATGAATAGTAAATAGTTAGATATTTTATTATATTATTGTATTTATTGTTTGGTCTTTGGTAGCCAAACGTCGTATACTTAAAATTAGAGTAACAATTAATTGCATTTAATTCTTTAAATGCATATTTATTTATTTTCGATAGCAATTGGTTATCACACGACAGCAAACGGCAGACTTTTTAACGAAATGGTATATGATATTTTACGAATCGATGAATGCCTCCAACCAAAAACAACACGAATTATTATTAAATATATATTTTTTTAATAATTTAGTTTTTTAATTACAACATATCAAAAATCGATGGATGAAAATTCGTTAATTTACCGGTGAAAAACCAATATTGTAAACATTTTATATTCAAACGCTCATAAAAAATTAATGATACACTCCAGGAAACGTTTTTTTTTGTTTAAGATTTCGAGACCGTGTACGACAATAAAACTGCTTCGATTTTCTTCAACAGTATCTTGTTCAATGGAAAAGTGAATCTAGTAGGTGCATTCGGGAGGTAAAATTCTCAATAGTTGTCAAAAGCAACGGGAAAAACAGCATAACAATTAAGGAAAAACGGGAATTTTTAAGCAAAATTAATTTAGGTTGTTGGTGTAACTCTAAAACAGATGACCGTAGATACATGACATTTTTACTGGTTGTTTATAATCAAAAAGTTTTGATTCGTTTCGAACTGTTAACGAACATTTTCAGTTTTAAATTTTTTTAGTTTATTTTTCTATGAATGTCAATTAAAATTTATATGCTGGGGAAAAAATCTTGAAATTTTAATACAAGACTCATAATAATTAATATATTGTTACAACAATTTTTAAAAAATATTAAAAAATCTATGGTCACAATTTTTTTTTTTTATAAGTTTTTCAGTTTAAATCTTGACAAAATACGTAAAAATCACGAAAATGAGCAAATTATTTTGGGTTAGAAATTCATAAAAATGTATTATTTTTAAATCTAAGATTTGAAATTATAATAGAAGATTCCTCATAATTTTTTCTACCTTTATCAACCAAAAAAAAGGTGGGCAAGTGGGTGTCGCTCTGCTGTACAGTAGGTTACAAGTCTGTCACTGTATAATGTATAGTATTAAATTTGAATTCAATGATATAATATCATTGTATAAGAAAAACGATTCTGAGCGGAGACGGTATGTCAGTCTAGGTATAAGACATATTATATACATATCTATGGTATTAAACAAACAATTGACCTATAATAGGTACCTACCTACATATAATAAATTCCAAATTAATCATATCACAATATCCATTAGGTACTTATAACGCGTTATACATCAACAAAAACCGTGATACTATCATAGATATATAATAGTACACTTTAGAAGTTTCAAGTACCCACGAATAATATTATTCAATCACAACAAAATAACTAAAATAGTTATTCTAGGTTTTTTAATATGTAATTTCATCCAAATTTGAATTTAAAATGTCTGTCAAAAATAGCTGTGTTCATAATATATTTTTTAGATTTTTTGGTTACAGTATGAACTATTTATGAGAACCTTTGTTTTAAATTTGCAATCCTTAGCTATACAAAATGAACATTTTATAATTTATTAATTACAATGATTGATAATTTTCGAGATTTTGATACATTTTGTTAAAATTCCAACTCTAAATGCTTATAAAAAAAAATGTGCCTATGTATTTTCGAGTCTTGGACTTAGGAGTCTTGTATTAAATTTTTACGCTTTTTGGCCCAACAGATAAAACTTAATTGATATTTATAGAAAAAAAAACTAAAACAATTGAAAACTGAAAATGTCCGTAAACAGCTCAAAAAGAGTCAAAATATTTTCAAAATTGTATGGTGTATAGAAAATGCTAATTTAAATATTCAGTGAAATGTTCATGTATCTACAGTTATTCGTTTTTGAATTACAACAATATAAGGAAATCGCTACATGAGAAATCGAGTGAATATAAAATGTTGTAAAAATTTGAATTTCAAACGCTCATAAAAATTTTATTTGACTTTCTTATAGACATTTTTTTTTTTTGATAAAGGTAGATAATCTTATAAGGAATCTTGTATTACATTTTCAAATCTTAGATTTAAAAAGAAAAATTTTTACGAATTCTTAACTCAAAATAATTTGCTAATTTTCGTGATTTTTCCACATTTTGTCAATTATTGAACTTTAAATGCTTATAAAAAAAAATTGTGACTAAGGAGTTTTAATATTTTTCATCTGCCTTTGAAACAATATACTAGGAGCCTTCTATTAAATTATCAAGCTTTCGCAACCAACAACTACAATTTTATTGATATTTTTAGAAAAAAAACAAAAAAAAAATGGAAAATAAAAATGTCCCTAAACAGTTCAAAATAAATCAAAATATTTTGAAAATGTTATCGTGTATAGAAAATACAAATATAAACAACCAGTGGAAATTCCATGTATATACGTTCTCATTTGTTTTAGAGTTATACCAAAAACCAAAATCTATTTTTTGGAAAACCGATTTTGTGTAAAAATTACCGTTTTTCCTTAATTTTTATGTTGTTTTTCCCGGCGCTTGTGAAAACTACTGTTAAATTTTTACTTTTGACCCCCCAAAGTACCAACTAGATTCACTTTCCTAACAGAAAAGATACTGATGAAGAAAATCCAATCACTTTTACTGTCCTAAAACGTGATGACAGACACAAAAAAAAAAATACAAATAAAAAAAAAAAAACACATCATTGTAAAATCAATACATTCATCGTTTCACTCAGAATCTAAAATGTCTACAAGAAAGTCAAATTAAACTTTTATGAGCGTTTGAATTTCATATTTTTACAAGATTGTATATTCACTCGCGATTTCTCATGTAGCGATTTTCTTATTTTGTTGTAATTCAAAAACTAATAACTGTAAATACATGAAAATTTCACTGAATGTTTATATTTTGATTTTCTATAAGCCATAAAATTTTGAAAATATTTTACCTCTTTTTGAGCTATTAACTTACAATTTAAAATTAAAATGTTTTTGGTATTTTTTGTCTATAAAAATCAATAAAATTGTATTTGTTTCGGGTTTTTAAAAACTGAAAATGTAATACAAGGCCCTGATAGGTATATTTTTACAATAGCAGTTGACAAATATTAAAAATACATGGTCACAATTTTTTTTTTTTACAAGCATTATAGTTCGAATTTTGAATAAATTTATCAAATTTAAAATTTACAAATTATTCTGTAGTTAAAAATGTATAAAATGTTCAACATTTATAGCTAAGGTTGAACAATTTAAAACAGGGTTCCAAGTACATGTAGGTTATAATATATAAATTATTTTATTCACAATAATATCATCAAATATACTAATTAGATAAGTACTTACTACTTAGTAATATCATAGGCTGACTGACTTGACTGACCGTCTTCGCTCAGAATCGTTTTTCTTACACTATGATATTATATTATTAAATTCAAATTTAATACAATCTATTACAGTGGCCTGCTTGTAACCTATTGTACAGTCGAGCGACACCCACTTGCCCCCCTTTTTCTGTTGAATTATCATCACTAAATTTCTTTAAAAAGCTTAAACTATAATGTATAAAGTTACTCATTAGTAGATTGACGAAAACATAATGAAAGTAGTTGGAAATATTTGCTGATAAAATGGACTTATTATCACCAAAGACCATATAGGTAGGTACCTATATGTATATAAATTAGAGATATTTATAAATTCTGTAAATATCGCGATCCAGCGCCACTCTTATAAACCCGTATGATAACCGTTTATAATTTCAGTTTTTATAATAATTATATCACACAAAATATAAAAGATTTCAGTTCTGGGTCGTGGTAAACTATAAAAATTTTCCCGCCCCTAAAATGTATAGGACGGGGCATTTAGCAACCTCCCCCCTTTGAATGTCCTACCTATTGCAGCTACGCATTTGGTAATTGCGTGATATATGATGTATAAATATATAACTCAATAGAAATATAGAAACGAAATACAATGTGAACAATAATATATTAAGGCCACTCCGAAATTATTGCTGAAAAATATTATCTGACCCACCTAATAATAATTACTCGGCTTACGTTCGTCATATTGAGTGGGCACCGGCCGGTGGCGACCACCGACGCACAGTGCAGCTAATAGGAAATAAATTACTATATTCAAGATAATTTTCTAATGATAAAATTATTATAATGTTTATTGACGTATTCATGGAGATTATCGAACATTTTTATTTTTGTCACCGCGACGGTCGTCCGGTGCCGGCCGATTACGAAAAATGGTGCCAGAATGGAATGGGGGAATACTCCTATAGTAATATAATTAGAACAATTATTATTTTACAATA